AAATAAAATAAATATTAATTGAAAAGTAGATAAATTTTAAACCTATTTATATATTTTGATGTCTTTAAAAAATAATTGTATAAAAATATATCGATTATAAATGAAAAAATAAAATTATTATCAATTTGTATATGAATTTATTTATTTGCACACAAAATATTCAAACTTTTCTATACCTTTTGATTTTTTAAAGAAAATTTTCTCTCTTATGATTAATTAATTAAATTAAAAAAATAGTTTTCAAAATTGACATATTTTACTGTGATACTATTTGTGTGTCACTTTTATTTTAAAAATAAAATAAACTTATAAATTATAAATAGTTTTTATAATTTATTGCATTACTTGTAAATCTTATTTTTCTTAAATATTGATTTTATATTTTACTTTTTTAAAGTTTCTAGTAAACTGAATTGAAAGTTAATTAAATGTAAAATATTTCAAACAAAAAACTAAACAAAAATTATTTAAATTGGAAATTGATTTACGCGTAAATATAACATAATTTTTAGCTTTAGTTTGTGTTAAACTGATCACATTAATGTAAATATGCAAAAATAATTTTAAAATAATACTTTCCCTCTGTTCTCATTATTATCTTAATTCTGAAAATGGTGTTTAAACTGATCTAATAATTTATAATCTAATTAATTGATTCATTTGACGCATACAGAGAACTAATATTAAAAGCTTTATAAAGATTATTTATCGTGTCATGAAATACTATGGGAATTGATTCTCACAAGGAATTTACAAACAAGTATCGTTACATTTTAATTACAAGTGAGAGCAGACACTCAAACATTAATCACTTATTATATAAATTGTACTCAAAGTAACAAAATCTCTAGTGAAAGTAAATCATGAAGGTTCTATATGTGTTAATCAAGGATGTCAAACAGAGTTGTTAATGAATGGGATAGGAATGTACACTAAGTCAAAGTATAATCAATCGATAAAAACTGATGCCATGTCTCAAGAACTTGTCTCTTAGTTCTCACAATAAGGTTAGAGTTTGAAGCGAAGAGTTTTTTACAGTGAATGCAAACTAATAGTTATTTCTTCGGACAAATGGATCCCAAATCTATTGGCGATGTGTTGCGACCGAAGACCAGACTCGAGCTAATAGTGTTGAGTAGTATTGTCTGCGGAATAGAGTTCTGCTATTCAGCGGAAACAGCGTTCGTTACGCCAACTCTTCTTACGTCTGGGATTCCCATCAATAGTACGACAATAATCTGGTGTTTGAGTCCACTCTTTGGCTTTTTTGTGTCCCCAATATTGGGCTCATTGTCCGACACATGCCAGTCATCCTATGGTCGGCGCCGACCTTTTATTCTTCTCTATAGCTGTGGAATAATCATCGGTTTAATTCTGGTCCCAAACGGTAACTATATATCAGGGCTTATATTTGCCAACAATTCCCACTTCGAGTCCGTATTCCTCACTATAATCGGAGCCGTTTTATTGGACTTCTGTTGCGACGCCTGTCAGTCCCCGAGTCGGGCCCTACTCTTTGAAGTCACAATACCTGATGACCACACCATAGGTTTGAGTACTTTCACCGCTATGGCCGGATTTGGTGGTGCCGTCGGGTATCTGATCGGAGGAATCAATTGGGAAAATAGTCATATAATTGAAGAGATGTTTGGATCAGACCACAAGAAGATTGTATTCCTCTTGTGTTCCATCGCTTTCATTATATGTCTCGTACTTACGATCACAAGTTTTGAAGAAATACCCCTTTTTTTACTCTCATCTCAAGAAAACTCAACCCATAATAATAATTATCAACAAATGATTGAAGAATCGTATGAAATGAATGCTCTTTGCACTCAAAAACCCAATTCTGGAACCGATTCATTGCCGCCAATTACAACCCCGACGGCAACATTCACTCAATACCTGTTGTCTATAATCCGAATGCCGGCCTCTCTTCGTATCCTATGTCTCACAAATCTGTTCAGTTGGATGTCTCTGATCTGCTATTCCCTGTATTTCACTGATTTTGTGGCTGAATCTGTCTTCGGTGGTGACCCTACCTCTCCCATAGACTCCGATTCTTATCGCTTATACGAAAGTGGAGTCAAATTCGGGTGCATTTGTATGACTTTCTATTCAATGACTTGTGCTCTCTATTCATATCATTTCAAATATTTCCTCAATATATTTGGTAAGTGATCACAGATTTGGAAATTTGTATAATAAGTTGTGTGTAAAATAGGGGCAAAAGTGTTGTACATCTCGAGTGGTGTCATATACTCGGTAGGAATGCTCGTAATAGCGGTCACTCACAGCAAGTCGAGTGCACTTCTCCTGTCGTTTTGCGCTGGCATTCAATACTCAACGCTGTTTACAATGCCTTACGTCTTGATCGCCAAATACCAGGCCTTCAATTCGGTTCGCTTTCCACTCTTTTCTCGTTTTCATTTCAAATAATTGTTTCCAGTTTTCAGACGAACCGACGCCCAGAGGATTGGGAACAGACATCGCAGTCGTCGGTTCAATGGTATTCTTGGCTCAGTTCTTGTTGTCTCTATTCATGGGCGCACTTATAGACCTGTTTGACAGCAATCGGGTCACTGTATTCGTGGCCAGTATACTAAGCGCCGGCAGTGCGGTCTTGGCCTCAAGAGTTCACTATATTCATGACTGAACACTATATTTATGTTAATTTTAATTTAATTCAATATAACAATTAATACGAAACATATATGATTTGTATATAAGTAATAGTACTGTACAGACGGTAATGATTATAATGATTATAATACAAACAATTGTCAAATGGATTGTTGTGTCAATTAATTGATATATTTTGTGTAAAGTTTTAAATAATGTATTCAAGTATTAGTAAAATGATTATCAACTCAAACAATGGATTGTCTCTAATCCAGAGTCTAGTCCTCTTCTTCTTCTTCTTCGTCTTCTTCTTCGTCCTCATCCTCTTCCTCCTCCTCGTTGTCGTCGTCCTTATCGTCCAAAACTTGAGAACTCTTGGATTCCATGGACTTATTCTTAAGTCTCTGCCTTTCCTTCAGAGTCTTCTCTTTCATTAATGTTTTGTGTAATTCCATCAACTCTTCGGTGAACTCTTCGAAACCAATTTGAGTGATCGCTTCCAACACGTCCTGAGCCGACAATGTCTTGCGTTTGTTGGCGACGGCTATATCGTTGGCACAAGTGGTCACATATAGGATGAAAATCGATGCACTCCTCGAGGCGGCGCTCCTCACGTCTGCACTCACTTGTGGTCAACACATGAAGACATCATATCATCAATTGATCCAATTATGAGCACAAGTGATGGTCAGTACACTTACCATTGACTCCATGAGGCAACGCGTCTTTGATGATCTTCGAGACCACATTTGAAGGCATATTAAAGTCTTCGGGTTTTTCAGCCATTTGTTGACAATTAGTGAACCACTGTTTCACTCCCCAAATGTCAACCAAATGTCACCCAATTGTGTCCAAATGTCTTCAGCAGTGCTTTCACTGAACGCCAAATAATTCAAACGAAAGCAATGTTTTTGTGCCATAAATGACGTGAAGAATGGATGCAATTGTGGCACGAATTGTATGTTTGAGTGATTGCTGTGAATGAGTCATAAATGGGACCAAAATAGGGATGAATTGAGTGCTTGTCATAGCGTTTAGAACATTATATTTGGTGTCAATTCATTGGACACTGTATTCACTATTGACTTACAAATCAATACTTGTTTTAAACATTAATTACTTTGAAACTGAAATTCATCGCAAAAAATGACAAAACGATTCATACATTCATTGGACGGCTATTGCGATGAACGGCTTCAATGGATACACTTCTTGTGAATCACTTGTGATGCTGACCACAGATATGATTCATGTCTAGTCTTTGATCATATCTGCAATAAATTGTAAATCAATTGATATTTTGTGGCAAAAATGCCGAATACAAGTGAATTCGGTTCCCAACTGTCCATCGGATCCAATACCGTAAGTCTGAATCCGAGTGCAAATGCATGGCTTCGTTGACCCAATTAATTGATTCATGGCTTCAATGCATTGATTGTATGTATAGTCCAAGTCATCCAACACTAAGAGCGAGTCCGTCAAAGTGATAGTCCGTTGCCGACCGATGAGCGACAAGGAGGTGAAGGGCGGACACAAACAGATAATAGACATGTATTGCGACAGAGGAGTCATTCAGATCCATAAGCCATTGGCCGCTGAGGAGGAGTCGCCAAAGATCTTCACTTTCGATGCCGTCTATGACTGGAACTCAAACCAAACGGATCTCTACGAAGAGATATTCCGACCATTAGTTGATTCAGTGCTCGAGGGCTTCAACGGAACGGTCTTTGCTTACGGACAGACCGGCACTGGAAAGACGTTCACAATGGAGGGCTCGGCAGACAAACCCGGGATTATTCCCAATTCGTTTGAACAGATCTTCAGTTGTATCGCTCGATCACATAATCAGCAATATTTGGTCCGAAGCTCTTATCTGGAGATATATCAGGAGGAGATCAAGGATTTGCTGTCCAAAGACCAGAGCCTAAGACTTGAACTCAAAGAACGGCCCGATATTGGAGTTTATGTGAAGGACTTGTCATCGTTTGTGTGCAAAAGCATCAAAGAGATCGAACACGTGATGTCTTGTGGTCACCAAAACCGTAGTGTCGGCGCCACTAACATGAATGAGCACTCGTCCCGATCTCACGCTATATTCATCATAACTATAGAGCACTCGGAGGAAGGGGTTGACGGACAGAACCACATAAGAGTCGGGAAATTAAATTTAGTTGATTTGGCCGGAAGTGAGAGACAGGCGAAGACGGGAACTGTGGGTCAGAGACAGAAGGAAGCGATTAAAATAAATCTGTCGTTGTCTGCGTTGGGGAACGTTATCTCATCGCTGGTCGACGGGAAGAGTACTCACATCCCATACCGAGACTCAAAGTTGACGCGTCTTTTGCAGGACTCATTGGGCGGTAATGCGAAGACAGTGATGGTCGCCAACATAGGGCCCGCCTCTTATAACTACGAGGAGTCCCTAACGACACTCAGGTATGCAAACAGAGCCAAAAACATCAAAAACAGTCCCCGAGTTAATGAGGACCCGAAGGACGCGCTGCTCAGAGAATTTCAGTCAGAGATTGAAAAACTGAAACAACAATTGATGGATAAGAGGAAACGAAAAGAGAATAGACTTTCCGGTGGTCTCAGCGATGATCAGATGATTCAATCCTTAGAGAGTACGCCTGCCATAGACACGGAAGCAGTTGAGAGACTCCAGACAAAGATCAAAGCCATGGAAAGCAAACTATTGGTCGGCGGCAAGAATATTGTCGATCACACGAATCAACAGCAGAAAGAATTGGAGCTCAAGAGTAAAGATGACTACTGAGTCTTCGCTGCGCTTGCGCTTTACAACGTCTTCAACCTCCTTGTCCTCCTCTGCCGGGAACTCTAGTCCCTTTGCAAATCAAGTGAAGTTGTGCTTCAACTCTCGTTTGCTGCTTTCTTAAAGAAATTGGTTTCAAAACTGCAATCAATTAAAACTGAGACCAAAGACGTGAAGGAAGTGAATGCTCGGGAGCGCCGGGAGTTGGAGAACATGCAGAACGAGTTGATGAAGGACTTGAAACTCAAGTATTTAATTATTGATAACTTCATACCAATCGAAGAGAAAAACAAACTCTTGAGTCGTATTGTCTTCGATGACGACGAAGAGAACTGGAAGATAGTGAAGACGCCGAGCACTGAGAGTTCAGTTGTGCTGAAACGACCCAATTCTTGTTCAGGCGATCGATACCCCACTTGACTTAACCGGTCTTAACCACGGCTTCACTCGTGACCATAGTCTATATCCTCACTCTTATATTACCTGACGCTCGACCTGTACTCGTGGGCATGGTGTTTCCTGATGTTGCGAGGGTCTGAGAGTGGCCGAGTGAGGGCTGCGCTCGAGAACGCTCTGAAACGGGAGGACGACATCGACGTTGAGATCAAGTAAGCGATGCATTGGTGTGAATGTGGTGTCAATTGCTAACAGATTGCTTGTTTCAGTTCAATACCGGCGCCCACTTCTCGCCGAAAGGGAAAGGAAAAGGAGTCGCCGAACGGCAATATACTGCGACCGCTAACTGCCCTTAAGATTTCCAATCGAAGTTCGTCTCGAAATTTATGCGAACGGCCGGACACTGCGAGTGCCATGGTCAGGAAGGGAGTCCGCTCTCCTGAGTAAGCGTTTACTTAAGAGAGTGCATAAAGGATAGCAAACTTAAGTAACATAGCGAAGACAAGTAGTAAAGTAATTATATAATGTACTTTATATAAAAACAATTTCTATTCACTCGTTACGAGTGAATGAGTGCAGTGTCTGGCAGTCAATGGTTACACCACTAAATCAATTAACTATTAATAATTCAATCGCAGATTATTCAAGTCTTTCAGTCATATATTATTTATCGTAACAAATACCAATACAACTCATTATTGGTGCTAAAAATATAATAAAATTTAAATTTTTTATAACTATAGGAAAAATATATAAAATCCCTGGTTAAATTCACCTTTAAATTTATTTTCAATATACTGTATAATACTGTTTAATCCTAGTTTTGGTACTTTTGTTATGTAGTTTAAGACAAATATTGTATGATTGAAAGGCTGTTTAATTGTGTGCAAATTGTTTTGCTTTAAATTAAAAGTTATGTTTAGTTATTGTTAACTTATTTCTTAACATGTGATCAGCTTTTGTTTCAAATTTAGTTTCTTAACAAATAACTTGTGATTTATTTTAGTTTTGTTCAAATCTAGTCAATAAAACTAATTTATTAAATACTTTATTTAATAACTGAGTTCAACATTATTACCGTAATATGGTTCACCACAATGTCAGGTTAAGTTAAGTTAACTTATTCTGAAAGTGATATTTAACTTATGTATTGAATTTAAAAACGAAATTATTCTTTAAACAAAAATTAGTTTTATTTAATGAGATGTAAATATAATGAAATAATTTGAACGACTAATAATAATAATAATAATAATAATAATAATAATACAGTAATATAATAACTATTAATATAAATTACAAATAATTACAAAATGATTATTGAGAAACTCATTTTATGGTTAAAAAATATATAAATTATTATTTCGAGTAAATGTAATGAAAATAATATTTATATTAGACTTAATAGAAGTGTAGAAGTGAAGTGTAGAATGTGAAAAGTGTGCGAAAAGAGCTAATAATACGGCGGGAGTGCCAAACAATAACCTCAACCACAGAATCTACGGACAGGGATAGCAGGCATTCATATGATAGAAGCNTATTCACAAAACTTACGGCCAATCATCCAAAGCAAGTGATCGTACTTTGGATATATGAGTGCCGAGATTGCGGTGAATTCCGGAGCATTCAATACATATGAGAGCTCCCAAATTGAGTGACGCCCAGTCGGGGTCTAAATCATACGATACACACATTATTGACAACTAATTACTAACTGAATGTCAAAATCGTTGCATTACTCAGGGAATCGCAGTCAACGCAGTATTTATTTCCGGGAACCGTTCGCATGGACTGAATGGCCGACTCGTCGACGGAAGTGCTGTTCTTATACTTGGATTTCTCACTTTCCATACTCTGCAGACTCGACAGTATCTGCTGCTCGATGGCAGTGACCCAAGAGTCCCTCTCCTCGGCACTGTTAGCATCGAAGTGCCAGTGCTTGTTCTCCAGCGACACGATCACAAACTCATAGCCGTCTGAGTCGTCAATCGAGTCGTTATTCTTATTGCCACTGCTTTTGGTCCGACGGTTGCGCTTCTTAAAGCTGGGAGTGTCTGACTTGGGGTTAGTGATGGGCACCAATCGCTGGTCGGCGTCACAAACACCTGTTCCCAAACATCCCAAATAGAAATGTCATTTCATTTAATAATTATATCAAACCTAAAGACAATGAATTGAGTGAAGGAGTGATGTCATTGTTGTGCTGGTGGGGAGAGGGGATGGTATGAATAGGACGCGAACCTCTAGGCTTTTGACCCGGAATTTTGACAGTCGTGTGCTTTAAAGGGATGTCCTTTCCATGAACTTCATCCATGTAGTCGTGAAGCGTCGGGTGATATGTGAGTCGCCCATCAGTGGTAAGCGTCACGTATTTTTTCTTCCAGTCTTTGTTTAGAGTTTTTACACTTTTCTTGTAGAGATAGCCCTGTTTTAGCTGTCGGTGCTTTTTTTTAACTTCCATAGGCTTAACATGGGTTTTTATGAACTTTTTTAAACTTCCATAGGCTTAAAATGGGTTTTTATGAACTTTTTTAAACTCCCATAGGCTTAACATGGGTTTTTATGAACTTTTTTAAACTTCCATAGGCTTAAAATGGGTTTTTATGAACTTTTTTAAACTTCCATAGGCTTAACATGGGTTTTTATGAACTTTATTTTAACTCCCATAGGCTTAAAATGGGTTTTTATGAACTTTTTTAAACTCCCATAGGCTTAACATGGGTTTTTATGAACTTTTTTAAACTCCCATAAGCTTAAAATGGGTTTTTATGAACTTTTTTAAACTTCCATAGGCTTAACATGGGTTTTTATGAACTTTATTTTAACTCCCATAGCCTTATAATGAGATTATATAACCTTAAATTTGGTCCCATAGGCTTAACATGGGTTTTTATGAACTTCCATAGGCTTAACATGATTGAAAACAGCTGATTGAACTGAGTTATGGTAAGCCCAGTCCAATCTTGGACAGCCTTATCACCCATCGCTTCTACAAACTCAAAATCAAGAAATGGACCTGAATAGTTATTTATAATCAGGTGCACCATTTCTTGAATTTGAGGAGAGTAAAGCGTTATCTCACAATTTCTAGCGATAAGCCCACTGTCCTTTCTCCAAATGCTCATCGCAACCGAGCATCTGGAGGGATGTAGAGGCGATGCGAGATAAGGACTTTAAATCGGTCTATTACTCGGATTGAGCCAAGTGGTGAAGCCTTTTCCCCAAACACACAATTTTTAGTTGTGTTTGGGAGTCTGGGAATAGCCAATTCTATATTTCCTGATTCGGGCTTATAGATTTGACTACCCCAAGACGGCTTCACCACTTTGCTCCCAGCAAAAGACCTCCGACAACCATCGCAAATATTCATAAGTTCGAGGGAAACGTCGGCGCTATTTGGAGTATGAGAAATACCCATTTTCTCCAAAAAGCGCCGGCGTTTCTCTCGAACAAATGTCCGGAGTTGCGCCTGTTCTTGCCCACATAGGGAGTAACGGGGGTGTTTCCTGGCTTCCCTCCACATCCGGGACAAGACCATTGAAGTTCTCGTCCCGGTTGTGAAGTTCCGTCCGGGTCCATTCCACGGGTCCGGGCCTGATGATGGGATTCGACACCCGTGGAAGGCCGAATCCGACGCTGGTCTCCTCCTGAGACAGGAGGCATCCCAGTAGAAGTTTGAGGATCCACTAGAGCCCTGGGGTCCAGCTCTGAGTGGTTCTTTTCAAATTGAGTGTTTCATGCCATAGAAGTCATAAAACCAGGATTTAATCATGTAACATGTAACAAGTAATCAAGTTAACATGTAATCAAGTTAACCATTATAATTTTTTTATATCCTAACTTAACAGATTATGATAAATTGTTAATAAATTATTATTATTCTTACAATAATAACGTCAATTTTACAAAAAACCCGCCATTTAAATAAAATTTTGTAAAATTTGGCATTATTCTTAAATTTTATTAAATAAATAATAACTTAGTTGAATTCCCCATATTCGAATTAGTCAGAAAAATATTTTCATATTTTAAAATCTATTAAGATTTAAGAAAATAAAGCACCTATTTTAACTTTTTAAAATCCCCCTAGCGGCTAAACCATACGATGAATGTTGCTAATTTTTACATATACTATATATTTTAATGTCCTCGACAAGATTAGCTAATAAAATTGACCGGGAGAGCTGGTTAATTAACCCATAGACACGGAGGCATCCTCCTTTACTTTCAATATACTGTATAATACTGTATAATACTGTATAATACTGTATAATACTGTATAATACTGTATAATACTGTATAATACTGTATAATCCTAGTTTTGGTACTTTTGTTATGTAGTTTAAGACAAATATTGTATTATGATTGAAAGGCTGTTATAATTGCGTGCAAATTGTTTTGCTTTAAATTAAAAGTTATGTTTAGTTATTGTTAACTTATTTCTTAACATGTGATCAAACATGATAGCTTTTGTTTCAAATTTAGTTTCTTAACAAATAACTTGTGATTTATTTTAGTTTTGTTCAAATCTAGTCAATAAAACTAATTTATTAAATACTTTATTTAATAACTGAGTTCAACATTATTACCGTAATATGGTTCACCACAATGTCATGTTCAGTTAAGTTAAGTTAACTTATTCTGAAAGTGATATTTAACTTATGTATTGAATTTTAAAACGAAATTATTCTTTAAACAAAAATTAGTTTTATTTAATGAGATGTAAATATAATGAAATAATTTGAACGACTAATAATAATAATAATACAGTAATATAATAATAACTATTAATATAAATTACAAATAATTACAAAATGGTTATTGAGAACTCATTTTATGGTTAAAAAATATATAAATTATTATTTCGAGTAAATTTAATGAAAATAATATTTATATTAGACTTAATAACTTGTGTAGAAGTGAAGTGTAGAATGTGAAAAGTGTGCGAAAAGAGCTAATAATACACAGGGAGTGCCAAACAATAACCTCAACCACAGAATCTACGGACAGGGATAGCAGGCATTCATATGATAGAAGCTGTGTAGAAGTGAAGTGTAGAATGTGAAAAGTGTGCGAAAAGAGCTAATAATACGGCGGGAGTGCCAAACAATAACCTCAACCACAGAATCTACGGACAGGGATAGCAGGCATTCATATGATAGAAGCGGGCAGTTTGTCGAACACCTCACAAGTGGTCGACTTTGCGGTCAATGATGTCAAACTGCCCCTCCGTTTGGGTACAATACTACTACTGTTAGCATTCATTTCAGAGCAACCGTTATGTATGAGTAGATCCACCACTTCTTTATGACCCGAAGTCTTGGCGTAAAACAGAGCTGTCTTTCCGTCCGAATCAATAGCCGTAACGTTTGCGTTGTGCTAAACACACAATTCAATGATATTTCAGTCATTTTTCAGTCATTTCATCGAAATATGCCTCAAATCAATACAAACCCAAAGCAGGAGCTGAACGACGGACAGAGAGCCCCGACTGGAGGCTAAATGTAACGGTGTTTTCACTTCGCGGGTATAAAAAGAGATATTTTGGTCTTTAGGCGAAAAATGCGCCAAAATTAAGGACAACTGTTTGGTGTCGGACTTGAGAATGGCTTCAATGAGTTGTTGTTCAATGCGAGTGATGTCTGTAATGGGAGCCAAGAAGTCCTTCAATTCATACTTCGATCGAATCCATCGCTCCTTCTCTTCACGACTCGAATTAGGGGTCGGTTTGGCTCTACTTCTTAAGTCATACTCCCAGAGAGAGTTGACGGCAGTGTTGCCCAAAGCCATCATTACAGCGATATGTCCCGCACTGACCAACAATTACTATCATTTAGTTCATCAAATCAAACAATTATATTCACAAAACTTACGGCCAATCATCCAAAGCAAGTGATCGTACTTTGGATATATGAGTGCCGAGATTGCGGTGAATTCCGGAGCATTCAATACATATGAGAGCTCCCAAATTGAGTGACGCCCAGTCGGGGTCTAAATCATACGATACACACATTATTGACAACTAATTACTAACTGAATGTCAAAATCGTTGCATTACTCAGGGAATCGCAGTCAACGCAGTATTTATTTCCGGGAACCGTTCGCATGGACTGAATGGCCGACTCGTCGACGGAAGTGCTGTTCTTATACTTGGATTTCTCACTTTCCATACTCTGCAGACTCGACAGTATCTGCTGCTCGATGGCAGTGACCCAAGAGTCCCTCTCCTCGGCACTGTTAGCATCGAAGTGCCAGTGCTTGTTCTCCAGCGACACGATCACAAACTCATAGCCGTCTGAGTCGTCAATCGAGTCGTTATTCTTATTGCCACTGCTTTTGGTCCGACGGTTGCGCTTCTTAAAGCTGGGAGTGTCTGACTTGGGGTTAGTGATGGGCACCAATCGCTGGTCGGCGTCACAAACACCTGTTCCCAAACATCCCAAATAGAAATGTCATTTCATTTAATAATTATATCAAACCTAAAGACAATGAATTGAGTGAAGGAGTGATGTCATTGTTGTGCTGGTGGGGAGAGGGGATGGTATGAATAGGACGCGAACCTCTAGGCTTTTGACCCGGAATTTTGACAGTCGTGTGCTTTAAAGGGATGTCCTTTCCATGAACTTCATCCATGTAGTCGTGAAGCGTCGGGTGATATGTGAGTCGCCCATCAGTGGTAAGCGTCACGTATTTTTTCTTCCAGTCTTTGTTTAGAGTTTTTACACTTTTCTTGTAGAGATAGCCCTGTTTTAGCTGTCGGTGCTGTCGTGAAGCGTCGGGTGATATGTGAGTCGCCCATCAGTGGTAAGTGTCACGTATTTCTTCTTCCAGTCTTTGTTTAGAGTTTTTACACTTTTCTTGTAGAGATAGCCCTGTTTTAGCTGTCGGTGCCATAAAAGAATAAATTAGTGACAATTGCATTAATACACGTAAACGACGGTATGACTGACCGGAATGGCTCGACCGCTGCCCACTTCCCCGGTTTTGTACTTGTCATCCAAATGTTTATTTTTGTTACTGAGGGGTGGGAAGAGGTTTGAGCGCCGCCTCGTCTTCCTAGCGGTGGTGGGCGTAGAGCTGGGAGTCGACAGATCTTTGGTCTCCTTATTGACAGTAGGCATGGGCTGTACGGACTGATCAGCTAATGATTTGAGCGGAACTTTAGCCGAATCCGGGACTTTCGACTCGACTCGTTTGGGTGGGAGGGGACCGAAGTCTTGGACAGGCTTTTGCGTGAATACATTATTGTTGTTATTATTGATATTTGGTTTAACAGGTAATGGTTTGCTTTGACTATTATTCAAATTTGTGATTTGAGTGATTTGTTGATTGGAGGGAATCGTATGATTAGGAGATGTGATGAGAGGTTTAACCGATGGGTTACTATTCACTCCATTAGATGTCTGAGAAGGTGTGACAATGGAATTGAATTGTCTATAGAAGCCTAAAGTGCTGGGAGTGTTGGGCCGAGAGTTAGCTGTCATGAGTGAGCTGTCATTAGTCCTGTTCTGAACAATCCGTTGACAGGCTATCAATCAAACGGACAAATGTGTGATTCAAGTATCAACCAAATGATCGCATTATAACGCATACCGTCGTGAAACACTTTCTCCACATTCAGACCATATGTAGCGCACGTCTCATAGTAGGAACACCTCTTCAAATCATTGGCCAGTTTTCGGGCTCTGCTCTCATCGATGAGACGCGGATTACTTTCACTGATGGCGTCTAATATGAGTCATAAAAACATAATATAATACTTAAAATGAGTCCAAACAGAATAAGCTATTAAAATAAATGTAGCAAATAATTGAAAATTTATACCTTGAGTGCCGACCAGGAATATAGGAATGTCTGATGAGTTTCTATAGTGAAACATCTTTGTGTAGTAATTATATATAGCGTTAAATGAGTTTTCGTTTTCAAGACTAAACACAAATATGACGGCATCGACCCAACAGCTGAACTGTAAGCAAATATAATGATTCACTATATTTTAATCATTGTTTTCAATAAATTATTTGTAAAATATTTGTAAAGAGTATAAGAGATGTATGTAAGTGTGAAATGGTGTGAGACCTGCATCTCTGGTGGTCCGCCTTCATCTCGGATCAGAAGCAGATGACTGTTGCCGTCAACTATGACTTCCTTCTTGAAGCGGCCGCCTTCGGGGGACTCGTCCTGCAGGTAAGAGCCCGTCAGGTATCGGTGCACTAGAGCCGACTTCCCACTCGTCAAATTGCCAACAATTCCCTGTATTAGTACAGTATTCACACATTTAGTGGTTATGTCCCACAATAAGGACTTATACATAGAAACTAGAATTCTTCTGCCAATTCATTGATACTAATTATTTGCTACATTTATTTTAATAGCTTATTCTGTTTGGACTCATTTTAAGTATTATATTATGTTTTTATGACTCATATTAGACGCCATCAGTGAAAGTAATCCGCGTCTCATCGATGAGAGCAGTGTACAGTATTCACACATTTAGTGGTTATGTCCCACAATAAGGACTTATACATAGAAACTAGAATTCTTCTGCCAATTCATTGATACTAATTATTTGCATTAAAAATCTTAAATAAAACTTACGAGACGGAGATCAGGAACAGCTCTGCTTAGTGTCCACTCTTGACTGTTGACAAATGAATCTATAAATAACAAAATCATTTTTAATACCGTTAATATCGTGTGGTTTTCTCATTAAAAAGTATTTTAAAAATTAAAAATCCCAAACACATTATATAATTTAAAATATAAACTGTAATATTTTATTAAGACTTTGATCATTATGATTTGAAAGCAAACTGTTGAAAGTTGTATGAAAAAGTTAAATTGAGATCAAACATTTGGTTAGAAATGTGCTTGATACAGTACACACCATTTATAGTATTAATGGTCCATTTCTTGGACTTCTTGAATGATCTCCGAAAAGATCTTCGGCCGACTGAGAAGGCAGTGGCGAGGATTGGCATCGCATACACACGTCAATCAATTGCTCACAAATTGTGTAAACATTTCATTCAAACATTTGACACAAACACAACTTCTGACAAGTTTTGCACAAATATCTTAAATCTGTTCCACAATTAATATATAAGTCTAAATTGGTTTCATTATTATATTTATACTTTTTTGATGACTAATAGATAGGATATTTTTTAAATACACCAAAATGTTTATAGAAAATGAATCTTTCTGTATCAGATAACTTCAATAAGTAACATACCCAGGGTAGACTATCATTTGAAATACAGACACATAAACACGTGCTTTTGAAAGCAACCGAAAACTCGTGCATTCCTTACATTCCTAGACATTCACACCAATAGTCACCGCAATTGTACGCGTTTTCAGTGCTCTCAAAAACACGCGTTTAGGTTTTTGACCTCAATTATAATCAGGGTATATGAGAACAAAGTAACTTATTAAAATCTTATATTATAGAAATAAAACTAAAATATTTTAATAAACTTTGAAGATTTTGATGTATTTTTACAAAAACATCCAGATTATTAGTTCATCAAATTGATACACACCATACAATCTTTTAAAATTTGTTTGGTAAAAGATTTTTCACAACACTTTTGTTGAGTATTTTTTGTCAAATATTCAATCAACACAATATAATTGATATTTGATTGAAAATGAAGCTTTAAATATGAACACAGAATCATCCATTAATGAGACTCATTGGATGAGACATACAGTATATCTCGTATGTAGTGATGTGAATGAGAGATGAAAGAGACAAATGGATTAGTGAACACAAAACAGAAGTTCATATTTCACAGAATTCATACAATAACTCAGAAATGGATATATATTTAGAAACAAAAGCATTTCAAATGATATTTTCGTGTGAAATACACAAAAAATGTGAAAATTAATTAATTTTTTGATGAAAGAAACACAAAAGAAAACTTTTGAAATCACTTAAAACTCACAAATCATGGCAAAAGTCACAACCATTTGACAGAAAATCTTCCAATTATTTATTTATTTTTTATTTAACTTTAAATTATAATTGTATTTATTATATTCAAAGTATTAAAAGTCATAAAAACTTATAATTTAACTCCAGTTTAAAGTGCTATATATAAGCACTGAGTGAAGCAAAACATTATTTACGAAATTCTTTGGCAATTATAGTGTGTATAAGAAAAAAGCAACAAAAATGTTGATCTAATGGTTATATGAAGTCCGTGAAGAAGTTGTGAGTGAAGTGAACCACAAATGCATTGAGAAGTGACACAACTTTTTGGGAGAGTGTGTGCCTCCTGTGCTCACTCTCACAGAGACGGCAATAATAGTGAGAAACATATAATTTTAATAAACCCAACGCCCGAAGGCATACCAACTCTCTTATACACAAGACTTGGATTTATTTGACGAATCAAAAAGAAATCAAATGTGTGGTGAATTCACAGTTTGCTCCCTATATACAGAGTCTGTATTACAGACAACTGAACACAATATTTGGGAATTATATGAACCCGTCTCTCATAGAGTGTGAACAGCTTCATGAGGACTCCCATGAAGAGCCCCTCCAATAACTATGACGTGATATGAGACAAGTGTTCATACAGTGGACGGTCTCGCAAATGACTTACAAGTCTCGCGATATTAATGCAAAAGCGTTTCGCCTGATTGGAGTCCCGCACAACTAAAGCGTGTCTAACACTGACTAACAGACAAACCAAATGCAAAACAACGACAGAAATTAAAATTAATTCACAAAATGAGTCATCGCTTCAAACCCTATGCGCTGCCAATAAGGAGATTATCGGATCAATCGGTTTCACATCTCCCTCTTCACAGTACAGACACACCAAACATGTTATCCAAACACAAAAAATGGAAAGTCATCACAAAAAGGACAAACAATCATATGTGACCAATATTTTGCAGACAATTTACATATGAATGCGATTAATATTAATTTTAGATCATTTTGAGATAAGTTTTATCAAATAAATATTCATTAGAAATACTAGGATACTGTCATATTAATTCAAATGTTTAATTAAAGTTTATACTCATTGACAGCAAAAGTAAAGGCAATTATGAAAACCTTTAAAATCATATTTGCATTCAAATCTTAAACTGTACAGAGTAATTATATTCATAAGCACTTCTGTAATATTTTAAAATCAATTTTTGAATTTAACTTTAAATTATATTTAAAAGGAATTTAGCAATTATTTATGAATGAAAGCATAACAGAAATTGTGGGACTTTTGCAAATATAGTATTAGTAAACCTGTTAGTATTTATATTAACCTTACAGTTAGTTCTCGACAAATATAATTCAAGAATCCCGAGAATTCCTGAGAAATAAAATCCCAAATTTTAGGGTTATTAATAAATTTAGCAAATTTATTGCACACACCATAACCCATAGCCTATGAATGAATGGAGTACTACAGGTATACAAATAGTGTTCAGATGGCTATATGTGAACTAAATAGAGCCATTAGTTTATCGATTAAAGCATATATAAGGGTCATTAGTGCCGAATAAATAATTATATTATGTATTTGAGTCACGAAATGTTTGGACATTTGTCAGCCAATCTATTACTATACAAATATAGTGTATTTATATCACCTGCCATTTGTCCGACAAATATTCAGTCGCTTCCGTTCGGCTCTACTCTACTCTATCAACAGTTCATATAATTATAGCCATAAACTTGAAATTAAAAATCCGTTATTTTTTGTTTAGTTAATCATTGAGAGGGAGGGAGTGAGTGGAGTGAGTGGAGAGAGAGAGAGAGAGAGAGAGAGGCGAGAGAAAAACGTTTTTGCTAATTAGACTATCTGTGAAT